GGTGGGCAGGGTGACCTCCGGAGGCCCCTGACCATCCGTGACGCTGTGCGGGGTTTCTTCAGGGCAGACTATTTACTTTTAGGCTGTGATGTTTTAGGCAATGTTAGATATTTGTGCCCAGTTCGCTGGGTACATCCCTCTGTTCCAGTTACCACGTCTGAATGCAGCCTCACTGAGGGGTCCCCTGGCTGCCAGGACTGATAGAGCCCCAGTAATGGTGGGAGCTCTTCCTCTTGACAGCTGGGACTTGTGTCAGCCCTGATGGCAGAAGAAAAGTAAAAGAGGAGTCGCAGGAAAAACAGCCCCTGGAAGTGTGTGCTTGTGCAGTGGTGGCTGCAGTTTCTGCTGTCAGAGCTACAGCAGGGAGGAGAAGCTGCTGAATGAGCCCTTGTGCGGCCCTGCCAGGCTCTGCTGACACAGGGGAGGTGCGGGGCTTGGTCCAGCTGTGCTCAGTGGCAGGGGGCAGGTGAGGAAAGGCCCTAAGCAGGGCTTTCCACTACGTAATGGGAGCGTCCTGGCCAGCGTCCTGACCTCCCCAAGCAGTGTGGTGTGTCTCAGTCAGGCTGGTTGCAGGATTGGGTGAATTGCTTACTATCTGAGCATTTAGAAGTTAAACTTCTGCGGCGAGTGGTGAGTGAAGAAATGGACCCTGGGAGATTTTGGGTGCCCTGCTCCAAAAAACATGGCTCTTGGGCTTTGTGCTCCAGTTTGCTTTGAAGGGAAGGCGTGTGCAGGGTATGGGGGGAATAAAGGATGGCAGTAGCAGCTTCATAGGAGATTCCCTCTCGAAAGAGCTGTCTGGAGGATCTATCCTGAAGTCTGAGTGCAGTGCGTTGCTGCTTGGCAAAATTCCTGGCTCAGTCTTCCAGTATGGATGTGGCTCATTCCCTGTAGCTCTGGGAACACTTATCTGGATGTGTGTCTGAGGTTTTCTGGGGCTGCCTTGCTCTGCACCCTCTGAAACTCTCGAGGCAGCTGCCCCCAAGCTGCTGAGACCTCTCTGGAGGAGCGAGGGGCCCCACGCAGCCTCTCTACAGTGGCCCTTGTAACGTAAAAGTGGTCGTAGCTCTACGGTGGCCGACCCTGGGACAAGCCTGGGATCTCACCTCTGGCAGCTGCCCAGGGAACGGCTCCAGGATGACTCGTGTTTGAGTTTCTCTCTGTCCCCACTGTGGGTCTTGGTGTGAAGCTGCAGCATTGCTGGGGGGTGCAGCCAGCCCTGGGGGAGTGTCCGAGTCAGCTCCTGAGCTCAGTATTGCGAACCTGAGCATTCAGATACTGTGAGTCAGGTTAAAGAAACAGCTTCAAAAAGAGTACATTGTAGGTTCTGGCCATGTGTCTGCTGGTATAAAAGCCTTCAGGGCTTGCATGTTTAAAGTGTTAGGGTTTTTTTTTTAGCATAGGCAAAAACTTACTTTCAAGAAGTTGAATTTCATGACTTCAGAAAATGACTGAAAGTTGAAAGATAAAGATAGATCTTTCTCATCAATATAAAAGTCTTTTAGGACCCATGGTAGAGGTCAGACTTAACCTGCTTTTGCCACACAATTAAGATTAGCATCCCGTTAGCTGTGTCCAGGGGCTATGCTCTGCATGTACCCGATGAGGTGGAATCCATTCCGCAGCATGAGATGTGAGCTAGAGTTGCTTTGTATCAAGATGGAAATGACTAAGCATGCCGCATTCCTGAAGTGTTACTTATTTTGATATAAAATCTGCTTGTTTGGTACTGCCCGAGTGTTCCTGGGCATCAGCACGACAGTTTTGTTCAGAAAAGCTTCAGGTCTGTTCTGGAGCTGAGCAGAATGGAAGTAGCTGAGAAGACTGGAGGGAGTCCTTGCTGCTGTGCTGGCCGTCCTCTCCCCCTCCACGACTGAGCTGGCAGCTTCCCTAGGCTTCAGAAGACCAGAAACTGCCCTTTATTTGTTACCAGCACAGGAAGCTCGGTGACAAGGAGGTCTCATGAGCTCACAGAGCTGCACGGCGGTTGTAAAAGGAGTAAGAGGTTGCTTCAGAACCACGTGGGCTTGCCAAGTGAGTGAGTTGCGTGTTCTTGTGCCTGCTGTGCAGCAGGGTAAGGTGAGGTGCTGTGTTGGTGCCTTGGTTTAGCTGATCTGCTGCCGGCGTGAGTGTGGTAAGGGGAGTTGCAGGGGAGCAGCACCTGGGGTAGGTGGGCTTGACCTCGGCATCAGAGAGGGTTTTATTGCTGACCAGCGCTGGCAGCATTCTCTCCTTGAGCGTGTGGTGTCAGGAAACAGCGTTGTCTTGAGAGGTTGCATGGAAAATGCTTAGCGTGCATTGGCTTTCAGAACTGGAAAAAGAGTCAGGGCCACCTATCACGTGGTGTGAATGTGCCTCATTCTTCTGCTTTGGATAAAGATATGGAAGCTGTCTTCAAACAGTATGGATCTGAGAGGCTGTCTTTTGGGAGAAATGTGCGATACTTTGCCTAGAAATTATTTCATTATCTTCGCCCAAAGCTACTGCTTTCAATGAAATAGTTCAGTATGCTTGACTGCACCGAGCTGCCGTCAGTGCTAATGCAGTAGGGGTGATAAATTTGGCTTCTCTGGAAATACTGGGAAGCACAGTGGAGCCACTGGAGGAGAGATCGGGAGAGAAGCAGTGCTGGCTGCCAGGCTTTTTGGCCTCTCTGACTGTGTCTGAGTGTGACAGCTTGGATCAGACCACCCCAGCCTGCTCCCTCCACTGAAGGTCGGTCTCTGCCCTTGCCCTGTCTCACGCGATGAGCTTAGATTCAGCGCCTAGTTCTTGATAGCAGCCTTGCAAGCCTGGGCAGGTGAAGAGCCGCATTCTTCTTCTCCTCCTCCTCAGAAGGTTATTTTGGAAGATGCCGTTCAGGGCTGTGGCTGGCGGAGCAGGACTGAGCAGGAGGGAACATCGGTGCTTTAAACCGAGTGCTCTGCTGCAGTCAGACCGTGCTGCTGTGTTCCTGTCCCTTCAATTAAATTCCTTGAGTTTGGACCCTTGGGATCCCTGGCTGTGTTTTGTTGTTCTTGTGGTGTTTTGCTTATTTTTTAAGCCAGTGAGACCTCTACATCCTTTTGTTAGCCCTCCCAGATGTGTGCTACAGGAGCAGGCTTTGTGGGGAGCGTGCTCTGGAAGCTGGTCTTGAACGTGTGATCTGAGGAGGAATGAATGTTCCTCAGCGATTGCCAGCGTGCAGCTGGGAGTTCCTGGTGGTGCGCGCAGTTGGGGTGCAGCTGATGGTGGTGTGTGCGGTTGGAGTGCAGCTGATGTGTGTGTGGTTGGGGTGCAGCTGGTGGTTGGGGTGCAGCTGGTGGTTGGGGTGCAGCTGATGGTTCTTTTCTCCTTTTTGCCCGCAGGTCGTGCTAGCAGGCAGTCCTTGCAGAGCTGACACCCCTGGGTGCTTTGGAGTCTCCTGCAGCTCGATGCGTGCAGGACGCGGGTGGACGTGGGCAGGGCTGGAGATGGGGTGTTTGTAAGCACACTGGCACTTGCCATGCACCCAGCAGGGTCAGTGGACGGTAGCTTCTCCCGCTCTGCTGTGCAGACCCTCTCCCGGAGCCACTGCCGCAACATCAAACAGAAAATCTCCCAGTGGGAGGGGAGGACACGAGGGTGCTCCAGCAAGGAGAAACAGGACTTCGGAGTTAAGTACGATCCCAGCTGCGATGTCCTGTCCAAAGTGAAGCCAGAACATGCAGAGAAGAGCAGAAGGACTGGGTCCAAAGATCCAAAGAGCCTGGGTTTGGACTTCAGGGAAGATGCAGGGAGCTGCCTGCAGACTGATGCCTGTGACGGCCTCCAGCCCTGTGCGTGCAGCGTAACTTCCCGAGCCAAGGAGAAGGGAGAGCGGCAAGCGGGCTTCCCGAACCCAGGGCCCACGCTGCCCCCAGGTAACTTCTATACCTCACAAGCGCTGTGGAGGAGGGTAGATCCCCCTCTGCCTGGCAAAGCCCCACCAGTTCCCTTGGACCTTCAGAGGACGCGAGGGAGCTGTGGCTCCACGCAAAGAGAACTTAAAGTCAAAGGAGTGGACTCTCTCTGCAGGGCAGAGAGGAGCTTGAAAAACATTTACTGTGAGGCTGAGGGGCAGGAGGAGGATCCAGCTGCTGCCCCACCACCCAAACCCCGTAGGACTTTCCGCTATCTTGCAGAGAAGGGTGCCAGTAGCTGTAGCAATGCCAGCACTACCAGGGAAGCTCCCCTGCAAAAGCAACGTGGAAGAGACTCAGTGTCATCCTCCAACAATCCTGAGAAGAGACTCGCCAGCAGGAGGATCAGAGGGAGAGCCCAGAGGTACACCAATTCATCTCTCACATCTGAAGCGTTTTCTTAGAGCAGTTTCCAGATGGGTTCAAAGAGCTTGCTTGCCCTTATGTCCTTGTGGAGGTGCTTGTGCTGGCGCTGCCTCCATTGATGGGGAGAGGATGTTCCTGGATGAAAGTGTCCCCTTGCCAGCATTGCGTACGCGCTGCTTTTGCTGCTGATAATCTCGTGTTTAGTCTGGTAAATGTGTTTTGGGTTCCTGTCTCTGTGACAGGATGGGACTCGCCGTGCCTGCTTGGAATGTGCCTGGCCATGGAGCCTCTGACTTAATTTTTAATTTACAAATCTCCCAGAGTGAGTGAGCAGGACTCGTTTGGTGTGCTGGTTTTGGCTGGGATAGAGTTAGTTTTCTTCATAGTAACTTGTGTGGTGCTATGTTTTGGATTTTTACTGAAAATAATATTGATAACACACCAATATTTGAGTTACTGCTGAGCGGTGCCCGCTGCTGGGCATCAAGGCCTTTGCTGCTGCTGCTTGCACCACCCCACCAGCGAGCAGGGTTGGGGCGGGCAAGAACCTGGAGGGGACACAGCCAGGGCAGATGTCCCAGCTGACCAGAGGGATATCCCACACCATGTGGTGTCATGCTCAGCAATCAAAACTGGGGGAAGAAGGAGGAAGGGGGGAGATGTTCGGAGTGAGGGCATTTGTCTTCCCGAGTCGCCGTTACGCGTGGTGGAGCCCTGCTAACCTGGAGATGGCTGCACGCCTGCCTGCAATGGGAGGCAGTGAATGAATGCCTGATTTTGCTTTGCTTGCCTGCACAGCTTTTGCTTTACCTGTTAAACTGCCTTTATCTTGACCCACATGATTTATCACCCCTCTGATTCTCTCCCCCATCCCACTGGGCGGGAGCGAGTGGCTGCGTGGGGCTGAGCTGCGGCTGGGGTTAAACTCCAACACTGGGAGATCAGAGAGCCCAGAGTGGAGCATCCATGTGCTTCGTGGCCCCAAGGAGGACCACGCTCTGTGTGGACTGGAGGCAGCAACTCACTGGTGCCTTTAGAAGAAGTTACACTGGTTTTCCTCTAGGAAATCTTTTGAGTTTGAGGACATCCAGGGCTTCCGCAACCGGATGGCAACCACCAGCTCCCACAGACTGCGAGAAGAGACAAACGGCACTGCAGGATCCAGGCTCGTCTACACGCAGTCGGAAGACAACATCTACGAGGACATTATCTGTATGTGCCTGTGCTGCTGTGGGATGCACTCACTTTATTTAAGGGTAGCAAGTTTGCTGGGGAGGGAGGGATGAAGATGCGAATGCATTGAGGCCCTTTCCAACTCATGAGTTTTAAGGTCTTCCCGATCTGGGGTCCTTTGTTGATGTTAGTAATTATCTGTGCGTGAACAGCCTGATTTCAGATGTCGTGGAAGGTTGCTAGAATTGGCCTGTGCTAAACTAATTTCTTTATTAGCCCTTCCAATGCTTCGTTCGAGTGCTGCACAGAGATCTGTGTGAACACTGGCAGAATGAGCTGCTTTGCAATGGGGCTACTTTCTCTGCAGTGGTAACAGAGTTTTGTTTTGCTGAGTCCATGTACAGTTTGCCAAGTTGATGGTAGTGGGTTAGAAGCATCTTTGAGTGGTGGAAATCTGATCCATCTTAAAACAGGTCTCTCTGAGACCCCGTTAAAGCTTGGCAAACAACTGCACGCTCTCGCTGCTTGCATCCCATGTGGGAATGCAGGACGTCATCTCCATTCATGAATCCTCTGTCCAATGCTTTTTCCAGGTCCTGCAAAAGAGAACCCCTATGAAGATATCAGAGCACTGCCCTTACCCCTGTGGAAGGTCCCATCTGTCTGGAAGCCACCACCCCCCCGGAGCACCAGCAGAGCTCCCAAGGTAGAGCGAGGGGATTAAATGGTCACTCATTTACAGAGAGTCATCCTCACGAGGGCCCTGTTTTGTGCCCCCCCAGCCCCACATTCCCCACTGTTATATCACTGGTTTTCCTTATTTTTTTAATTGTTCATTATTAATGTAAATGATAATGAACTGCCATGGCTGCTGATTAAGCTGCTAAGGAGTAAAGGAACAAGAGAGTGTTGATGAGATGCTTGAGTGTGTGGAGTGGGATGGAGATCTTGGCAGAGCAGGAGGCTGCAGGACATTTATCATTTGTACTCTGACTCCTTTGTCTCTGAGCTCGGACCAGAGCTTAATCCCATGTTTATCCCTTTTCTGATTATGTTTTTTAGCCTCCCCCAAAACCTCCCTTCCTCAGTTGCAAGACTCTTGAGCTAAAGCCCTTCCAGTCAAGTTTCCAAGGGAAAATGGTGAAGGACACAAGCCTGCCTGTCACACTGACCGAGTGGAAGCTGTTCCGAGCAGTAGAGGCTGCTAGCAGGAGAAAGAACTTGCCCTGGGTAAGGTTTAACCATCAATCATTGCTTCTTGCATGGCATTTCAAACTCCTGCTGCTTTGCCTAGCACCTTCTGAGTGCTTTGTAAGTGGACATGGAGCTGCGTGTCTGGCACCTGCTGTCAGGAACGTCCCTTTGCGGCTGTTTCATAGTTTAACGGTGCAGAGCAGCTTTTAGGGACAAGTGCATTTCACAGCACCTTCGTACAGCTCTCCCCTCTGCTGCCTCTGGCCGCTCCTCCACCTGTGTGCAGGGCGGATACGCCTCTGAGGACAGAGCGGTGAGAGAGGCTCTCGATGCACCTTTGCGACAGAGCCCTCGTAACTCTCAGTGGATACCTTGGGAATCCTTTTGGACACCAGAACTGGTTGGCAGCTCCTGTCCCTCAGTGGTGGCGTGCAGCATGAGCTCTAGGACAGCGCAGCTGCAGCACTCTGCGTGTGGCCCTGTGTGCCCAGGACTCAAATTCCAGTTGTGGCAGTGGCAACAACTGACTTCTGCCATGGTAAAATCATTTCACTTCTGCAGATCTTCATTTCTTATGAAAATTGGGTGTATTTGCTGAAATTGCACAAGACTGTGAGGTAGAGCTGGACAGCTGCAAAATACTTTTCAATTGTTAAATACTTTAGAGTAACAAGCAACTTCTGTACGTGCTTTTAGAACAACTAGGCCTGGAAAATCAGGAAGGAGATGGCAAGATTATAAAAACACTGTGACGGAGAGTATCTTTCATTTGGAGCGGGGAAAGCAAACCTATTCCAAAAGTCTGGTAACAATTTACGTGCAGGAAGCTCACTTTACTCTCGTTGCTCACAGGGAATTGAGCCAAGATTGCTTGAGAGGTAGAGAAAAGGATTGGAGTCTAAAAGAAAAAAACTTACTTATTGCTTAAGAAACACATAGCTGCCTTAAACACACCCAGCATCTTTCAGTGGTGACTCAACTGCACAGAAATCAGAACAGAAATAGAAATGCTCTAGGTAAGGCTGGATGGTAGAGGGGGAAAAAGAGAGATTTTGCAGAAGCTCTGCTTTCTGCTGTGGGCTGCTTCCTGTGGTGCAGCCTCATCGTGTTAGGAAAACGGGCTACAGCAGAAAATGGGGAGAAATAGATCTGAAAAGGAGAAGAGCCTAAGCCTTGTTTGCTGAGCTGGAGGTAAAAGGCTTGAGCTGAAAAACAGGTTCTCTTGCTGAATATCTTCCTTTTTATGCAGTATTTGTGGTGACAAACGGCTGGGCCCCACCCTCCTACATTCAGTGGAAGCATTTAATGAATCTGACTTGAGACAAGAATGAACTTGACCTGCTCACTGCGTCTCGTGTGAATCCTCCTGCGCAGGGAGGGCACAGCCGGTGTGGACGCGCAGAACCCAGGCGCACTGCAGCGCTGCATCCCTGGCAGCTGCGGGGGGGCAGTGACAGAAGTAACAGGAAGCCTGAGGACCTGGGTTTTAAGGCCATTGTGAGCAGTGGAAGGAAGGTTAACAGCATGAACTTGGAATGTCTAAATGCTGACCCTTCTTTCGTGTCTGTAGCTTAGGGCTATGGTTTTTTCCAGTTTTTCTTCCAGTGGACCAGCTCGGTGGTGTCCCTGCAGCATAGACCTGTGATTCTGTCCCCGTCCCTTTCTTCACCTTTGCAAACAAAGTACATAATCCTTACGTTTTAGCAAACTACCCTGGGACAAGACCTGTGCTTAGAGCAGCCTTGTTCTGTGCCCGACGTGGTGCTTTGGAAAGTGTCCTCGCCCAAGGGTTGTGGTGCTCAGTGGTACTGCTGGGCTGCAGTCCTGGTCCAGCTGGACCCTTTTCTGGACCCCCACGTTAACGTCTGCATCTGCTTTGGATTTCAGCTGGTACTGAAGATCCAGGAGATCTTTGATTCAAAGCGTGGAAAGAAGAGGGTGAAGTTGCTCAGCCCTGCTGGGAGGGAAGCACCTGCAGTGAAAGGTACGGAGGTCCCCAGGGCCGTTCCCTTTGCCAGGAGCCTCGTGGGCCGCACAGCTCCTGCACGGCCGGGGCTGCCTGAGGCCAGGCACTGCCACCTCCCGCAGCTCACGCTGAGCTGATTCAGCAGTGCCAAACCCTTCTTCTTGCAGCTGGAATTGTTGAGCTTTCGGCACTGCTAGGGTTGGGAATGCTTGCCCAAGTTTAATACAGTCACGTATGGAAAATTCCACTATGATCCGAGCCTGAAGAGCTGGGTTAAAAGAGCTTTTTCGAAAAAGCAGAACAAACCCAAAAATTCCCCACAGAGCTACTTGGCAAGACAACTACCTCTGGCTACTCTGCTCATCACTTTTGTCTCTCTAAAGTGAAATTCTTGTGTTCTTCTGAATTTGTAGCTGTGGTATGGTCTTTATTTATAATACATTCTGTTCAGCAGCTCTGTAAACTTTTCTAGCAGCATCAAGTAACCACCTGGTTTCTGTTCTTTGCCTGTGTTCAGCTGACCTGCAGGTGGTTTACTGGAAACAGTGACTTGATACAAACTGTGCTTTTTGAACTTTACTGTTGTAGCACGTTTGCCAGTGCCGGCTGCTCTTGGTGATGCTTTTTGAGCAGGATAGGTGGGCAGCCCTGAGGGATGTTGCTCTGATGAGTCTAATGTTCGGTCTCTTTCCCAACTTTGGGTGTTGCCCATCTTCCTTCCGCATGGCTGATAAGTGAAAGCTGTGTGTGTTTCAGGTGAAACCAGCGGGAACGAAAGCGATACGGAAAATCCACCAAAAAGTGAGTGAATCACAGGGGCTGGTCCTGTCCCCACAGCCCTACGTATCTGGCTAAGGCTCTAGTGGGATGAGCACACTGACAAGTTGTGGCTTCTGCCGAGGCAGCGAAAGGGAAGGTCTAAGCATGACCGAGGGTGGGAGCTGTTGCTGAGGCAAATCAACCTCTATTTCTGCTGCTTCTGGGTCCTTGAGGTTTGCTGCCATTAATCTGCCAGTTGCTAGAAGTAGATTCAATCACACTGAACTGAAATATGTCTTGCAGGAGATTGTCCCTCGATCACCCCTACTTCCTTCCCTTGGTTCTGTATTATACATACAAAGTTGTGAAATACCTTTTCCTCTGAGTAGAAATCACTTGGTTATTTGTCTGCTTCCACAGTCCCGAGTTTGTTCGTAGGCCCAAACTAGACTTGAAATACCCCCTTGGTTTTAGCTGGTGTGGGAAGGACCAAAGGAGTCTTAGTTTCTGTGCTGGTAGGGTTTGGATGTGAAATGGTAATGGTTGGCCAGCAGCCCTAATGAGACTCTGCCATGTCTCTAAGCAAGCATCTAGCGAACAGGACCAGCATAGTTCTTTGAGACATTTCGTTTACTTGGAGGGAAGCGCACAGAAGCCTTAACTTGGAGCGAATAGGGTAACTGCAAGTTTTTATGGTAAGGCGATTAATGGAGAGTGACAAGTCTCTGCAGAAATACAGTGGCTGAGTCACTGCCCGATTTAAGAGTTGTTTCCAAAGTGTCTGGAATGTGTCATGGTGCCTGGGCCACAGGAATTCCTGACGTCAGGTGCCGTGCCTGTGCTTGCAAGGCTGCACAGCCTGTCAGGATGTCCCAGCCTGGAGGTGTCCTGGCCAGGAAAGCGGCTCTGTCTCTCTCGAATGCCCGTGCCGCTTTACAGAGCATGAGGGCTGGCAACTGCCGAACTGGTGGGGCTGGGCTTCCCCCCTGTGCTCCGGGATGTGTGGAAAGGGTGTCAGGACAGCAGGAGAACGCCGGCTGTCAGTCAAGGGAGCTTGGCAGAGCTGCTGCGAGGTGGGACTCCTGTGTTTGCACAGCTTTGTGCTCCAGGAGCTGACACTGACGTCCGAGTCCTGTGGAGCGCAGTGGTGGTGTTAGGCAAATGCACCCATCTCCTCTCCCTGGTCTAAAGGTGGTGACGATGCCTCTCCTGTGTCCTGTGTGGCCATGATAGCCACGGGCTGGTTTGGGATTTGTTCCTTTCTTCAGGTCAACACAGGCACCTGCTGCAGGTGCAGCCCACGTCCAAGAGGAACCCGCACTACCAGACCTTGGAGAGGGATTTGATAGAGCTCCAGGAGCAGCAGCTGTTTGAGCTGTTCGTGGTGGTGTCGCTGCACAAGAAGGCGTCTGAGGTGACGTACACACCGCAGATCATACAGCAGTTTCCCAGCAAGGTAGGACCTGCGTGGAAACCTGCCCCAAAAAGAAAGCAATGTAACCAGATCTAGCTTTTCCCTGCTGCAGCCCCTCAGTGTGCCCCCGGGAAGGGAAGTGCATTGTTCTTTTCCTGCTGCCCTAGCAGACAGTCAGACCCAACTGTGCCATGGCTGTTTACTGGCTTCTATAGATGCACTAACAAAAAAACTTATTTCCTCAGTGTTTATTTATCCTCTGCTCAAATTCAAGTGTTTTGATGAGAGACTTTATACGGGACAGTCAGTCACGTTGGAAGTTTGCAGGAAACGTTGCCCAGTAATTATGGAGGTGTTCTGGTCACAGATTTGTCTCCCTTCTAAAAATAGCCTTGCTTCCGAGTAATCTGCTTGTCACCCTCTTCTTTGGGCTGCGTGCCCAAGGACGTCGAAGCTTTTGTACAACTGTTACTCTGTGAAAGTGCTGCACTGTTCTAACCACTCCCTCGTGGTGTCACAGCTTCCAACACTGGAATAACTTAGATGCACTGACTGAGAGTACAGTGTCTAAAATCAGCTTTATGAAATCAACTTTCCTCTTGCCAGGGGCATTTCCCACTTAAATGGGATCTCTCTTATTTGAAAAGGTTCTTTTTGCCCCTTCTGAAAAGTTTTGAGCATGGAAAGTTGTCCTGTAGTCTTGGAAGGATTTGACTTGAGCCCACGCAGGGTAACGAACGTGTGATTCAGATGCGCTGCTTTCACAATTGAATTACGAGTGATCTGTACATTGCAACCCGACCTTTTTCCTGTTCCTCGTGGTGTCTTCAAATCTCCTAGGAACAGAACCGAGGCGAGCTGACACAACTCTCATGTGCGGGGTCAGCTCTGGCTTCATTCCCCAATAGACTTGGCCATGCCTGTAAATCCTCACTCGCTGGGTAGTTTTACAAAGGTCCGAGCAGCAGGAGAGATGCAGGAGGGGACTGGGAGTCAGTTACAGTCAGAGCATGTTCTGCTGTACCTGTGCTGATGGTCCAGCTTTTGGAAGTGTCAGGAAGATGCTGTCTCCTGTTGTTTTAATGCTGCAGCTGTGCGTCATGCTTCAGTGACTTCAAATGCATGTGTTACCCCTCCAGCCGGAACATCCCTTCAGGCAGTCAAAGGATACTGAAGAGAGGCTAAAGGTCATTCCCAAATTCTGCTTTCCCGATCCCAAAGACTGGTTTCCTGCATCAAACCTTAAAAGGTAAAGACTTGATTTTGAATACTTGGGCCTGAAACGGGCAATGCTGGGAGCTTAGGTGTGTGCCAGTTTCCTGAACCAGAGGAGCTGCAGCCAGAGCAGGGAAAAATGGGAAGGGCTGAGTCCCTGACCCCTGTGACAGGGAAGAGGAGGCATGGAGGTGGGCTCAGAAGTGCTGCTTCTGCCCGAGCACTGTCTTTCCTGTAGGAAGGAGGTTTGCAGCACCTGCTCGAGGGCAGCTCCTGGGGCTGGCGGCTGCTCCTTGGCAGGAGAAGCAGCTGGGAAGGAAGAGAGCTGCAGTAGGTCAGTGAGAGCCCAAGGGCTGCAGGGTTTTACACTGAACAGAGATAACCACGGCAGGGGGTCCCTCAGAAAGGGAACGGCTGGTAGTTTGTGTGCTTTGTTTGTCAGTCTCTTCTCTGGATTGCGTGGTGAATTTAACACTGACTGTTCTTTGGTCCCCAGTGAAACATTTTCTTTTGTGTTGACGGGCGAGGATGGTGGCCGCTGGTTTGGGTACTGTAAGAAGCTCCTGGTAAGCATCTGTGTGTTGGGTGGGTGTGAAGAATGCATTGGTACAAGCACAGTCAAGTGCAGGATGTGTGGCAGCAGCAGTTTCCCATGTGGGTTACGTGGTGCCTGTGCTGCTGTGGAGGTTGCCAGCCCTTTGCATGTGTGAGGGAGGGAGCAGGATGGTGCCCAGCAATAGAGCACAGTGGGCTTTGGACATGAAATCAGCTCCTGGGTCTGGTCATTCCTCAGGAATCTTTTAAGCCAGAAATGCAGAGGGAGCTACAGCAGAGGGAATTGTGCAAATCAGCTGCTCCGTGGGTGCTGGGTTCTTTATTGCATCCCTGTTCTCATCAACTGTTCCTGTTGCCTTTCAGCCAGAAGGGAAAGGGAAGCGCCTTCCCGAGGTGTACTGCATCGTGAGCCGCCTGGGCTGCTTCAACCTCTTCTCCAAGGTGAGGCGGGGAGCGCCTGGTGCTTCTCACCAGATTGAGTGTCTGACAGCCTGCAAGCTCCAGAAAGGAACTGGCTGCTTCTGTCCAGTCTGGAATCGCTTAGCGATCATAACTCACCGCAGCAGAGCGGTGCTCCCTTGCCACCTCTGCTTTGACAGGGCAAATAAAGTGACACTAGAACTGAGACTTGTCAGCCCACACAAAGGCTTCAGCAAATGCTTCACCTGGGATGATGCCCCTTCATCCTCTTTTTTCGTGACTTGGAAATGAAAATCAGTTTAGGGTGGGGGGTGGACCTCAGCTTGTTTCTCCTGGCACCACAAGGAGAGTAGATAAGAAGGTAAAGACTGGGTAAAGCCATTACAGGTAAAGGGCAGCTTTTGCAGAAGAATGCAGGGGCAAGCTTATGATGAAAGCTGATTTCTGATCATTGGAGCACAGAGTTTCTAGAACAGTATTTCAGAAAGATGTGGGTTTTTTAGGGGGAAGGAGGATGGGGTGTTGCTCTTCTTACTCCTCTAACTAGTCATGAGAATCTGATTAGCACATATGAGACATTTCTTTGCAGTAGCAGGAGTCTGGATTTGAGAATGGAGAGTTGTACTCATGGGTAATTGTTCCCATTTGATTGTTCAGGTGTTTGAGAGGAGCTTTCACAGGGATCCCAAGCAATGGGGGAGAGGTCTGCGAACCTGTGCTGGAGCCTGCACGTGTAGCTGTGGCACAGGATGCTCTAACAGGGGCTCGTATCTCCTCAGGGCACCAGCAGGTGTTGAAGCAGTGCCCGATGTATTTTCTTGCAGATTTTAGACGAAGTGGAGAAGAGGCGAGAGCTGTCCCCAGCCCTGGTGCACCCGTTCATGCGTAGTGTGATGGAGGCCCCTTTCCCAGCTCCTGGGCGCACAATTGCTGTGAGGAGTTTCCTGCCGGGAGCAGGAGACGAGGTGAGGGAAACTGGGGCTGGCTTTCCTGTGTCCAAGTGTCTCCGGGGCACAGCCACACTTTGTGCTGTAGAGTGATGCAGCCTGTAAATAATTAGTCTGAAGGTAATATCCTGAAGTCCAAAGGGAGGCTGTCACAGAATCACAGAACGTCAGGGATTGGAAGGGACCTCCAAAGCTCATCCAGTCCAATCCCCCTGCCGGAGCAGGAACACCCAGATGAGGTTACACAGGAAGGCGTCCAGGCGGGTTTTGAATGTCTCCAGAGAAGGAGACTCCACAACCTCTCTGGGCAGCCTGTTCCAGTGCTCTGTCACCCTCACTGAGAAGAAGTTTCTTCTCAAATTGAAGTGGAACCTTCAAGTGTTCCAGCTTGTGTCCGTTACCCCTTGTCCTATCATTGTTTGTCACCGAGAAGAGCCTTTGTAGCCCTACGCTGGGCTCTCTCCAGCAGTTCCCTGTCCTTCTTGAACTGAGGGGGAAACCAGCTTCCTGTTGCATCGTCTGCTGTAGGAGCCATTGATTCCCTGCTTTTTAAGGACCTTTTTAAGGCCTGGGAGTCCTGCGATGCCCAGGCCGTGGGGTTGCGGTGGTGAGGAGCCCTCGCAGCCTCCTCAGCGCTCTGCTCTCTGCTCGCTCGCAGGTGATGGAGCTCTGCCGTCCCTTGGATTCTCGGCTCGAACACGTTGACTTCGAATGCCTGTTCAAGTGTCTGAGCGTCTCTCACACGATTCGGGTCTTTGCCTCTCTCCTGCTGGAAAGGAGAGTGATCTTTGTTGCTGACAACTTAAGGTGAAAAATGAGTCTGAGTGACCGGTTCTTTCTGAGGGATACTCTGTTTTCTTCTGTGTTTGGGCCTGTTTGGGCCTGTTTCATGTGCAGGCTCGTCTAACTTTAAGTAGTCACATTTAAAAGCTTTTTGCAGACTTCCCACAGAAACATGTGCACGCTTAGAATTTGAAGCACGCTCTTTACCCAGGAGCAGATGAGGGAATGTTTCCTTTACCGCTTTAGTCTGGGTTGAAGCTATTCCTGGCTCCCCATAACTGACTTTAAAGCGGTTGCATGGGGCTTCTGCTGTTGCACAAACAATGTGTGTGAGTTACGTTTTCCCTGAGCATTTCTAACCTGTCTGTAGCCGAGTGCTGAACGAGACACTGACAATCCACTGTGCTTCTCTTGCCTTTCTAGCACTTTGTCTAAATGCGGCCATGCCGCAGTTGCAACCCTCTATCCCTTCACTTGGCAACACACCTACATCCCAGTCCTGCCCACTTCTATGATTGATATTGCGTGCTCTCCGACCCCGTTCTTAATTGGCATTCTCTCCTGCTCGTTACCACAGCTCCGGGACCTGCCCATAGAAGAGGTGAGTATCAAGGGGAGCGCAGAGGAGGGACAACGTCAGTGGTGTGAGCCTGATGTCTCTGGAACAATCTTCTGTCGGGATATGAACTCTTACACCTTTCTGGGGCAGTTGTTGAACTTGCCAAATATGCATCGGGGAGTTCCACTGTTAAAGATAAATAACGTTCGCTGTTCTTACAGACGGGCTGCAGTTACTCAAAACTTGTGTTACGTGTGTGATGTCCCCTGCCACCGGGGAAATTTCAAAAAAGGAAAACAAAAGTATTTTATTTCTGCACAGCAAGGTACCTGGTTGTAAGAGTCACTGTGTTTTGTGCATCTTTCCCCAGGTTCTGATTGTTGATCTTTGTGCTGACAAGTTCTTGCAAGAGGTGAGTGAAATAGCAGTACCACTCACTTGTGGTTGTATGCCAGGAAAAGGCATCACTGGAAGGAAATGAAAGCAAGATATCAGCAAAAGCTGGTATTTGTATGCAGATTCCAGTGGCTGAAGAAATACCTTGCATCCCTTTCTGGTCAAGAGAGAGGGCAACAAGATTACAAATCCTTGTTGCAAGATTGAGGTTGCACAAAGTACAGAGCTCTGCAAAGCCAAAGGTGCTGCTTATCAGAGCTGGGTTTGAGAGCAGACACTTGGTTCATGATGTGAAGTGGACCTCCAGGATTCTTCGCTCTTTTTGGCTGTCTTTGTGTGCTTGTCCAGGGCTTTCTCCTCTCACCTAGCGGGGCTGTGGTTACTGGGTTTGGGCTATTTGGTTTTTCCAGGAGTGATGGTCTAGCAGACAAATTACCACTTTACCTCATGTGCTCCCTCGTCACCAAACGAGTGGCTGTAATGTACTGAAGCATTACTAGTTCAGGAGGGTGTTTGCATCTCCTTTTCCTCGCCTTACTGTTCTGTTTTGCATTGCAGCCTGCAACTGGAGAAAGGTATTAAAGCATCGGGGGTTTTTAACCGTAACGTTGAGACTTGTCATGTTTTCTCAGCAGACTTCTGTTGTTCCTGTGTGTTTTATCACTGGTGTAATAAGCCTGAGTCTGTGTAGTGCTACAGCACGCGTTGGTCTGTGTTGGCTGGTTGTGTGTGTGACACTAATTGCACGTATCTGGAGGGTGCTGAGCAAATGTTTTTCACTTCTCTTGCTGCAAGACAAGTGCATTGTCTGCACCGAGATACAGCGTACCACAGAGTAACTGCCCTCTAATTGTTCTAGGCATGTTACAAGTATTTCTCATCTGTTCACAGTGAGAAGGTTCTGTTGATGATAGATAAAATGCAAAAATGCTTTCATGGCCACTTTTCTCTTTAGGTGTCGGATGAAGACGAGATCCTGCCTCATAAACTGCAGGCTGCGCTTGTACAAATCTTGGAAGAACGAAGTGAAATCCTATCCCATGAGCAGAGTGATGCACAAGGTACTGCTGTGGAAAAGTGTTCTCACAGTGGCAAAGCTCTACAGCTTCCATGATATAAAAATGAGGAAATGTAAATACACATTAGGAAGTGATATTATAGAAAGCTGTTTTCCTTGCTGAGAACGTCTTGTGAGTGTGTTAGAAAGCAGTCTGGTGTCCCAAGTTGTTCCTCTTTTCTCAATCAGTACGTCTGGAGCCCTGGTTCTCTCTGGGCCAATCACACCAGTTCCCATGCTTTGAGTTTTCTTTAATTTTTCTAAAATGGCAGAGAGGATGCCTCGTCTTAAACAGAGAATGCAGCAGGTCTCTGTATTTGAAGGGTAATCTGACAGATCATTTTCAAAACTGAACTGTTTTCTACATAACTGATCAGATAAGTGGGAGAATTTTCCAAAGCATTGAGTGGCTCAAGACAACGGCATCAGCAGATTTTGTAATTCCGTGCCCATCAGAAGTGATTAAGTTGGTTTTTCAGTGGGTCTGTGGTTTGTAATTTGCCTTATCCTTTAAGAGAATTAAACTTAGACTGTTAGGAGTCTAATGATGTCCAAGTGATGAGGGTAGAGGAGAGGTCTCCACTGTGCTCCTCTTCACAGGTGACATCCCTCTCAACTCCCTGGTCTCGGAAGCTTTTGTGCAGTTCTTTGTGGAGATCGTTGGACACTACTCCCTGCACATGAACGTCACGGAGAAGGGGGAGCGGGTGTTTCAGCGGGAGCTGTTCTGTAAATCTCACGTGTCGCGCAACGTGCGCCATTTCTTGCACTTCTTCATGGAAACGCAGATGTTTGCAGGGTTCATTCAGGATCGAGAGTTGAGCAAGAACGTGGTCAAAGGTGAGGTTTGGTCTCACTTTCTTCCTTTACAAACTCACTGTCAAAGTGTAATGTTGTGTGACTATGACTCTTTGGAAACCTTTCGTCCTGGCAAGCTACCCTGTGGGCATGTTACGTGTGTACCGGCTCCGTGCCCTTCGAATTACTCAACAGAATTCATCTTGTGAAGCAAAGAATTTTTGCATCTCTCCTTTCTGGACTTGATCCTGCAGGTTCCATAACATGCCCCATTGCCCTTTTGTAACCTCCTTGCTAATGATGTGAGATGCCACACGCTAGAAGATGGAATAGCTCATCTGGCTGAGTGATTGTTTCTAATGTATTTTTTTTCTCTTTAGGCCTTTTTGAGGCCCGTGCCTTGGAGTACTTGGAGCGAATTCCAGAGACAGAACCAACTGGAGTGAACAAAATCCTTCGCAGTCTTGGTAAGGGGACACCTTTGGGTTTTTTTTGTTTTTTTTTTAATTATTTTATCTATTGAACAAATAATTGCATGCAAAAGAGAGCAGAGCCCATTATTTGCCTCACAGAATCTTAGGAGTTGGAAGGGACATCGCAAGCTCATCCAGTGCAACCCCTGCCAGAGCAGGATCACCAGAGCAGTCACACAGGAACACGGCCAGGGCTTTGGGTGTCTCCGGAGAAGGAGACTCCACAACCTCTCTGGGCAGCCTGGGCCATGCTCTGCCACCCTCACACTGGCAGTTTGTCCTCATATTCAGCTTGAACCTCCTGTGCTCCAGCTTGGGACCATTGCCCCTTGTCCTGGCATTGGACATCCCAGAGCAGAGCCTGGCTCCTTCCTCCTGACACTGCCCTTTCCAAATTGATCCCCATGAATGAGGGCACCCCTCAGTCTCCTCTGCTCCAGGCTCAAGAGCCCCAGCTCCCTCAGCCGCTCCTCAGCAGGAGATGCTCCACTCCCTCAATCATCCTTGTGGCCCTGCTGGACTCTTTCAAGCAGTTCCTGTCCTTCTTGAAGTGAGCGGCCCAGCACTGGACACAAGATTGCAGCTGTGGTGTGAGCAGGGAAGAGCAGAGGTGCAGGAGAACCTCTCTGCCCTACAACCACCCTTCTAATATGCACTCGTGCACTGGTGTTCCTTTTGTTTACATCTGGTTGTCTCTGGTTCCTAATGTTTTGTTTTTATTGTTTCTCTCTGTAGGAAGCAAGATGAAATTTCTTCAGAAGAAATGAAGGCGCTGCTGCGGGCCAGCAGAGCGGGGGTGCTGGGGGGGGTGG